GTTTTTAAGATATCTTCATAACTGCATTTCAATAGAATTGATTTCATTTTTAAGCCCAGCTATCTTGTTTCACACATTTAAAAAGATGATTCTAAAAAGGAGGACCACTGGCTTCACCAGACTGCCAAAGGGGGTCATGGGGCCAAAACACACACACATACACACACACTCACACACACACACACACACACACACACACACACACACACGGTTAAGATGGTAGAACTAGTGATGATCAATAAGGATTTTGGTAGCTCTAAAATTATATGAGTGGGTTAACTTTTACTATTCGACAGCTAATTCCTGCTCAGGCATTAGCCCTCTGACAGACATTTGAATTTTAATAAGGGACTTTACCAGCTGTAACAGCCTGATCAGGAAACATCTTTGGGGATATGGAAATGTCCCAGAACCCCTCATACCACACAGCACAGGCAGCTGCCCCACTTCCTCTGCCTTAAGGTGGAATAAAAGAAAATGAACTCAGGGGAGTGATGGAAAAATTTAACTGATGATCCTGAAATACTTTGTACAGGAAGACTGACAGTCTCCACTGAAGGGCAGATGTGACTGAAACGGACATTATCACTCTGAGGCATTTTACTACTATTAACTAACTTACATGGGTCCCTTTATAATTCTAGATATCCCTATAAAAGATTATATTTACATAATGCTTTAATTTGTGAAATGCTTTGCATGTATTATTTTATAGATTCCCACTTCAACCAGTGAGGTGGAGGCTAATTATTCCCATTTTACAGAAAGAAAACTGAGGTTGGAAGAGGTTAGGTGATTTGCCCAGGGTCCTACAGTTGGTAAATATCTGAGATAGGATTCAAACTCAGGTCTTCTCAATTCCAAGATCATCACTCTGTCAACTACACCAACTAGATGCTTGTTATGAGTCTATGACTTTGGGCAGGACTCAGTGTCCCCCGATTTCTGTTTAGCTTACAATGCTACCTGTGGCTCCTCAGGACATACAGTAGCCATGGGATTGCAAGCGTGGCCAGCATCACATACTCCTGGCATCACTGCTCTAAAGTCAAACCTCCCTGGTCAAACCTCAATTTCCTCATTTATAAAACAAGGTTAGAATAAATGATGTCTAAGGTTCCTTGCAACTGTGAGTATCTACAAGATTCTATGAATTATTATGGCTTGTGTTCTATGTGACTTTGAATAAGTCCCTTCTCCTCGGGCCTCAGTATCCTTAAAATTAGGAGTCTGGATAATCTCCAAAAGTTTCTTTGTACTACTGAAATGCTGTGATCTTTATGAGTCCACAAGGTACAATTTTACCTGAATGTTGAGCCAGCCTAGGTGGCCTCAGGAGATTCTTCCAGCCCTGATTATTTTACCACTTGTCACAGACTATTAGGATGAAATGTCATTGCTTATCAGCCTCTCTGTAAGCCTCTGGGTTTGCCTTGGCCCTACCCGGCTCAACATCTAAATAGTTCTCCCTTCTTGCCTGTGATGTGCTGGCTGGTTTTACTAAGTCGAGAGGATCCCACCAGGGACTCCTGCCACCTGCTCAACAGACTTAATGCTCAGTGAAATGCCATTGGCCAGGGGGCAGGGATACTGATACTCCATTCCAGGGGCCTCCCAAGCATCTGGGGACACGGGGACAGAAACTTGCAAGTCATTAGGGAGACCAACCAGTTGCTTCCAGCCTGAAATAATATCACAGGTTTTAGAACTAGAGATTGTCTCATCCATCCTCGAGTCCCACAGCTAGCCCATCCACTCTTGGATTGGGATTGACTGCTCTTGATAATTACCCAGGCAGCATTTTTAAAGGATGATGTTATTCAACTGCAATTAAGTGACTATAATGTTGGGCTCAGAGGCAGGAAGATCTCTGCTGAAATCCCTTCTCTGACATTCACAAGCGTGGTGACCATAAGTAGGATGCTTCATCTCTGAGTCTCAGTTTCCTCATCTATAAAATGAGAGTAATACTGGTTGTAGTATCTGCATCACTCATGAGGCTCATCATCCTATAAAGGTGTCAAATATGCAGCCTACTGAGCACATGAGGACCATGACTACGCCCCCACCTCCCCTCCCTGTTTAGCCAGAGCAAAATTAAAATGAAATAAGGAAATATTCCACAAAATGAATAAAATGCAAAAGAACATAGATAATATTAATAAGTGATTTTCTAAGAGGTCCCCTTTCTATTTGAGTTTGATACCACTGATGTAAAGTGCTTTCCCTAGAAATGGTACTTATCGTCATTTTCCTCTCCTCTCCAAAAGGGGAGGGGTAAAGAGTAGAGCTCAGTGAATCCCTTTTCTCTAGGAAGATGGCTGAATTTAATTCCTTCTGTGCTTCTGAACAACCTCTGTGTAATAGCCAAGTCATTTATAAGTCTAAAAATGCCATATTCATACAGAAGTGTTCTACCGATTCTAGCTAACTCAGTACCAATAATCATTACTGTTGAGACTTTCTGATCAGGATGCAGCTACTGATTCCAGACACTGGAATACTTTATGGGATCTGAACATTTGCCTGAATCTCAATTCCCTGAAGTTGAGTTGATATCTGGGCAGCAGCAGGTAATATCTAAACCCTGAATGGTCCTTCTCTGCTGCCTTCTGTGTCCTAGCAGTATCTCACATTGATCCATCAGCCTGTCGTTGGGTTAGAATGACAAGTGATCCTTGAATGATACTCCCTTGAAAGGGAGGAAATTCAGAATTAATCATTATGTGACTTAGCCTAACTTCCTTTAGTATCTTAGTGTGGCCTTTCTCTTCCTACAGGTGAAAGAATGGACTCGGGCCAGGAATGGAACTTACTTAAGGTTTCTTGATAACAAGGACATCCTTAATAAGGAGAATGGCAGGATTGGACCTCACAACCTTTAAAGATCAGGGTGATGACCCTCATTCTCTAATCACAGTGTGAATCAATCCCAACTCTACTCCTTTTAACTCATGGTATTGTAAGGCAAAGATAATTTAGACACATGAAGACAAGAAACCGTTAAATGCCTTTGAAAGCATCGGAAGCCCTTTTACAAAATGGAGAAACATCTAAGAAGGCTGGTAATTAATATTCATGTTATTGCCAAAGGGTGGTTCATCTGCTTACTTGGGAGTGGGGGAGAGATTCTTCTTTCCAGGAACTTGGTGGGCACACTCATCTAGGGCACATCTAGGGTACTGTGCCATGCTGTTTTGTGAAGCAGGAGAGCAAATACGGGGAGTTATGAAAGTAGTGACAGCTGTCAGAGGGGACTCCTATGGCAGAGAGCCATGTCAGGTTGTCTTTTGGCCTGTTGATAGCCTAGGGCGAGGGACACATGTTAGGGGTAGGGAAAAGATTATTTATAAGGACAGAGCAATTGCCTCCCCTTGCCTTCCTATCTGCAAAAAACAAGACAGAACAGAAAAGCTGCAGAATCTGATGTTTGCCCTGCCTCACAAAGGGCTGGGGAGGGCTAATTAGTATTTGCAGAGAGAACTCAGGAAAATGAAAAGTGTTCTCTAAATGCTCAGTTTTATTAGGCTGGGAGTGCCAAAGGCATGAAGCTGCTGGCTCCAAATTGCCAAATTCTACTTGCGGGAGGAATGAAAGGACCTATGGGCACCACGTGGCAGGTAGAATGAGGGCCCCTCACCATTTCAAGCAATCCCACGGCGGCTAATTGCCGTGGGCCCTTTCAGAACAGTGGCATGACAGTCCCTAACAACATGTCTTACCTGTTGATGTCGGAGGCCACGGATTTTTTTCACACAAGCCTGGGACAAACTTTAGGCAGGATGGGGCTACAGGGAGGAAGCGTGTCATGGAGGCAGAATAGGTTTGCTAGCTTAATTCATCCTGTGCGCTCTTGATCCTAAATGACTATCAGCGCCTCTTCAAGTATCTGCACCCCGTCATGAGGGATGCCTTTGAGGACCAGCGGGGACAGGATCAGGCAAACAGCCTGGGGCCTTCGACAAGCAGCTGGGACCTCGGAGGTAGCCTCAGTTTCAATGACTTCCAGTTCCTCGGCAACTCCGGCCTTTCTCACCCAATAGAGATTCAACGTCAGAGAAGTTATTCAAGAAGCCACTTGAATTGTGTCTCTGTTACTTCTTACCTATGTGACCTTGGGCAAGTCACTAAATTAACTTCTCTGGGACATTATTTCCTCATTAGTATGGATAGTAGCCCCAAGGCTGGTCCACTTGTTGTTGGACATAGATATGTAATAAAGGTAGGAGAGAGTGAGCTGGTCTCTAAGCTTTTATGCCTGCTTAGATACATTTGTATGGGAGCCTCCTTTAAATTAATTAATTAATTCATGGAGGGTGGAGCAAAGAGCTCCTCCCAAAACCTTCATTTAAGGAGGGCCCCCTAAGCCAGCTAACTTATCATCTCCCACCTGGCTTCACTATTTTGGACTTCATTATCCTCTCCCTTCTACCTTTCCTTTCTATCCCACCCCAACCCTCCACTTTTGAGCTTTGTGTGTGTGTGTTATCTTCCCCCATTAGATTGCAAATTCCTTGTCGGGGGCTGTCTTTTTCATATCTGGATCCCCAATGCTTAGCAAAATGCCTGACACACAGTAGGTACTTAATAAATGTTTATTGACTGACTAATAAAAAAGCACTGATTATGCACTATTTGAAAAGCCCAGTGGCAAGCCTTGAGATGCAAATAGAAAAGCAGGGTCATTCCAGCTCCTTAGATCACATTCTAATGGAGGAGACCACATAGATTTTAACCGCAAGTCAGATGGAAAGATCCCATGATCCTCAGGGTACAAAGAAAATCTTATTTAATCTCTTATAATCATATAATAATAATCTTATAATCATCATATTTAATGTCATTTCCACTGGGGGAAAAACCTTCCACTTCCAATGTTGAATTGAGAGTGATAAAGATTCTGAGGTGGAGACCATTTTTTTCAGGGTCTTCCATAGTTGTGGCAGCTAAGGAGTCAGGGGCTACAATACCTGCAGAGGAAGCTGCCGGGTAGGTCTTAC